CTTCAACACTGCCAGGGATGGGGCAGCCACAGCTTCCCTGGGCAACCTGGGCCAGGCTCTCACCACCTTCACACGGAACAATCTCCCCTCTCCCAGTTCCCCCTTGTCCTCTCCCTCCTTGCCCTTGTCCCAAGTCCCTCCCCAGCTTTCCTGGAGCCCCTTCAGGCACTGGAAGGTGCCACAGCTTCCCTGGGCAACCTGTTCCAGTGTCTTACTCCCAGCCCACACTCCCTACATCCCAGGGCTGCTCCAGGCTCCTCTACACCACCCCAGCTCCCCAGCCCCATCCACCTCCTCAGACCCCAGATACTCACATGGGGGGTTTCTTCGGCTCTCCCTGGAACTTCATTTTCTTGGCAGAGTTGGTGGAGCACGGAGGGGCTCGCATCTCACTCAGCTCCCTCTGAGCCAGAGGAGAAAGTGGTGAGGGAGACTGGGACAGTGTCACCACAGGGACAGGGCGAGGGGTGGGAAGGGCCAGGGACTCACCTCGTATCGCTTCTGATCCTCCGCCGCTTTCTTGATCCACATCAGCTTCTCCTTCTTCTCCATGTTGTTCCAAGTGGCCTCCATGGCCTTCAGAGCTTTCCCCCGGTCGTTCTGCAGCACAGATCCCCCACCCCACGTTAGATGCTCCCAAGATGTTGTGGTGTCACCTCCATCTCCACCACAGGTCACCCACTCCCTTTGTCCCCATCCTCCTCCCGTGATCTCGGGCATGAAAACCGGGGAGAAGGTGCAAAGCAATTCCAAAAAACGATCCCAGTTCCAGCTCCTTTCCTGGCCAACTCCTCACCTTGAAACGAGCCAGGTAGTCCCCAATGACGCTCTGCTGCCAGATCTCCTCAGCTGTTTTGGGAGACTCGGGCAGCTTCCCACGTTCCTCTTTATCTGAGCCGTGTTTCTTCTCCGACTGCGCCTTCATCGCCGCCTCCCGCGCCTTGTACTTGGCCTGCAAGGGGGGTCCATGGGGGGGTGAAGGGGCAGCACAGCCCCCCAGCCCCACCGTGGCCACCAGTCCCCAGCCACCAAGCACCAGGACACTGCAGCTTCCCCCCAGGGCTGTCCCCATAGCGGGACTGGCAGCCCCATGTACACCCATGTCTCAGGACTCCCCCCTTTCCACCAGGAAAACCATCATGTGGGGCTCAAGGACCCTCCAAGGGGTCTGAAGCTGTTGGGTTTGACCACCAGGTCATGAGAGGGACCCACTGGTACCAACATCTGGGTGCTCACTGGAGCTGTGATGCTCCTGGGGACAACGGTGCCCAGGGGTGAGCAAAGGACAAGGATGGGCAGCATTCCGTGGAGATGCCCAACAAAGCTGGGGAGACAGGGATGGAGGAGAAGGGTCAGGGATGGGACCAACCTTCTTCTTCTCAGAGAGGTCGTTCCACATGCGGGCCAGCAGGCGGGTCAGCTCACTCTCCGACAGCTCCGGCCGCTCCTCCTGCAGCTGCTTCCGCTTCTCCTCCGAGAAGATGAACATGGCAGAGATGGGTCGTTTGGGTTTCTCTGAGCTGGCCTGCGTGGGGGACACGGGGCCACAGGTGAGGTGAGGCCACGCAGGGACCTGCCTCCTACTGCTGCCTCCAACCCCAGGAAAAAACAAGAGTGAAAGGACTGAAGAACGAAGCCCTCCAAGCACCCCGAGATGCCACCAACCCCGGCACGTGCTGCCCTGTCACTCCAGTGGCTGCTCTCACCTTGCCGATCTCTGGGGAGGATTTTTTGGATGCAGGACTCGTGGCCCCTTTCCTGTTGCTGCCCAACATCTTCTCCTCACCCAGCACCCGCTGCTGCTCCTCCTCGGGCAGGCTCTGGGTGGCACAGGAGAAGAGACAGGGTTAGACAGCCCGGCACTGATGCCAGCAGGGTATAGAGACACTGGGAACTCATCCTGAGCCACAAGCCACCCCAGCCAGGACCAACACCAGGCCTGGGTGGGCAGCCCTGAGGGTCCCCATGCCTGTGTCACCCCCCCTTCTTCCCCAGCTCTGTCCCCTCCCTGGCTCAGTCTCGTTTCCTTCCTCCAGGTGCAGGCAGGGACCTGGCTCTGGGTGCACCCCTGGGTTTTCCACCCAGTGCCCTTGCAGACTGGGTAACAGGGTGGAGGTGGCCTCGGTGGGGGTCCTCCCACCTCTGCCCCCCACCCACACCCCGGGAAGGAAGTGAGAGGCTCCTCTTGCTGCTTCTGCACAACCACAGCCCCTCCTCCAACCCCACCTCTGCTTCCCCTCCCCGTCCCAGCTCCCAGTGCCCAACTGGAACACACTGGGCAGGCATCAGGGCAGCTGGGGAAGGGACAAGACTGTAAAACTGGAAGAGGGAGATTTAGGTGAGACATGAGGAGGAAATTCTTTAGTGTGAGGGCGGTGAGAGCCTGGAACAGGTTGCCCAGGGAAGCTGTGGCTGCCCCATCCCTGGCAGTGTTGAAGGGCAGGTTGGATGGGGCTTGGAGCAACCTGGGCTGGTGGGAGGTGTCCCTGCCCATGCAGGGGATTGGAACTAGATGATAAGGTCCCTTCCAACCCAAACCAGGCTGGGATTCTGATCTCTGCACAGCAGCCAGGACCAGCTGGGAGCAGCCACGTTTTGGGGAGCAGAGGAGGGCAGCACGAGCACAGGCCCATTTAACCCAGCCTAGCCCCTGGCCAGGGGGCCCTCCACCACCAGGGGCTCCAGCACCCAACGGCCAAGGCAACCCCTGTCACTCACCTCCAGGAAGCGGAGCAGCTCGATTTCATAGTCTTTCTTTTTCTGGAGGGTGATGGGGGACAGGGGGTTACACAGAGATCCCCATCCCTGCCTCCTGCAGTTCCTGACCCAGCCTCAGCCCCCTGGGCAACAACATCCTCCACCCAGACCATCTGCTGCTCCCACCACACCCATGGACAGGGTAGACAGGAATACAGGAGGTGACCAAGGACCTCAGGGGGAACTGCTGGTCCAGCTGACAAGAACAGGCACTGGGGAAAGCTGAGGGGCTCATCTCCAGCCAGATTTCCCAGCTGAAACCTCCCATCCTACTCCTCCCTCCCTACAGCACTGGTTGCCCAGCTGCCTGTCCACCTGTCTGTCCAACCTTGGGCCCTCACCTGATCACACTTTTTGTGGTAGGCATCTTTTTCCTTCTGGGAGAGCAGCTTCCACTGCTGGCTGCACAGCACCATCCGCTCGGTGCTGGGCACGTCTTTCATGTTGGCCATCAGCTCTGCACAGTACAGGGAGTAGCTGTTCCTGCAACCACAGGATCCCAGACTTACCTTGGTTGGAAAAGACCTTAAAGATCACAGAGTCCAACCAACAGAGGGATCCAGTGTCAGGGAAAACCTGCCCCACTCAGGTCCCCTCTGCTGAGCTGGTTGGGTGCTAAGAGCCTCCTCAAGACCCCCCGTCAGCTGCCCTTGGGGTTGCAGCAGGCACTGAAGTGCTGTGCCAGAGGTTTCTGCATTTCAGGGAAGGAAAAATTACCCCCTAAGCTGGAGGACACAGCACCTCCAACCTCGCTCAGCTCCCCTGCAAATACCTATTTAATGTGTCTTTTAAGGAGCAGTTTCATGGGGCCACCAACAGCCCAACTGTGGCCACCAACGTGGTGTTGACTTGGGCTCTCCAAGCCAGGACCAGAGCCCCCAGATAGCAAGAACCAGTGTCCCCTGGAGCTGGCTAAGAGCCTGAAGTGATGGCTCAGAGGGACACAGCCCAGCTGGAGGGATGATGGAGGGGCAGGACTCACGGGGGTGGTTTCGTGGGTCGTCCATCGAACTTGTCCTTGAGCTGTCGCTCGGCCTTGGTGAGGGTGGAGCGGGTGATGCCCTCCTCACTGATGTTCAGCTCGGGGTGCTTCTGGATGTAGTCACGCATGATCTCCTGCAAAGTTCAGGTGGAGAGAGGTCAGGAGAGGGGCTCCAATCCCCGCCTGGCTGGGGGCCAGAGGAGGAGGAGGAAAGAGAAGCCAAACCAATTGCCCTAATCATCTCCACAGGGCAACTTCTCCCCTCGTAGAAGCCTGGTTTGGGTTGGAAGGGACCTTCAAGATCATCCAGTTCCAACCCCCCTGCATGGGCAGGGACACCTCCCACTGGAACAGGTTGCTCAGAGCTCCATCCAACTTGCCTTAAAAATACTTGCATGGATGGGGCAGCCACAGCTTCTCTGGACAACCTGTTCCAATGTCTCACACTACAAAATTCCTCCCTAACACCTCACCTAAATCTCCCTCTTCCAGTTTTAATCCATTCCCCCTTGTCCTCTGGCTACAAACCCTCACCAAAAGCCCTTTCCTGCAGCCCCTTCAGATACTAGGAAGGCTCCAACTACCTCTGGAGAGCTGAGACTCACTAGGGACCTGCAGGGACCTGGCTGAACCCCCAAGGCCAGCAGCCTGGGTTGGATGGGGCTTGGAGCAACCTGGGCTGGTGGGAGGTGTCCCTGCCCATGCAGGGGATTGGAACTAGATGATAAGGTCCCTTCCAACCCAAACCAGGCTGGGATTCTGATCTCTGCACAGCAGCCAGGACCAGCTGGGAGCAGCCACGTTTTGGGGAGCAGAGGAGGGCAGCACGAGCACAGGCCCATTTAACCCAGCCTAGCCCCTGGCCAGGGGTCCCTCCCCACCACCAGGGGCTCCAGCACCCAACGGCCAAGGCAACCCCTGTCACTCACCTCCAGGAAGCGGAGCAGCTCGATTTCATAGTCTTTCTTTTTCTGGAGGGTGATGGGAGACATGGGGTTACACAGAGATCCCCATCCCTGCCTCCTGCAGTTCCTGACCCAGCCTCAGCCCCCTGGGCAACAACATCCTCCACCCAGACCATCTGCTGCTCCCACCACACCCATGGACAGGGTAGACAGGAATACAGGAGGTGACCAAGGACCTCAGGGGGAACTGCTGGTCCAGCTGACAAGAACAGGCACTGGGGAAAGCTGAGGGGCTCATCTCCAGCCAGATTTCCCAGCTGAAACCTCCCATCCTACTCCTCCCTCCCTACAGCACTGGTTGCCCAGCTGCCTGTCCACCTGTCTGTCCAACCTTGGGCCCTCACCTGATCACACTTTTTGTGGTAGGCATCTTTTTCCTTCTGGGAGAGCAGCTTCCACTGCTGGCTGCACAGCACCATCAGCTCTGTGCTGGGCACGTCTTTCATGTTGGCCATCAGCTCTGCACAGTACAGGGAGTAGCTGTTCCTGCAACCACAGGATCCCAGACTTACCTTGGTTGGAAAAGACCTTAAAGATCACAGAGTCCAACCAACAGAGGGATCCAGTGTCAGGGAAAACCTGCCCCACTCAGGTCCCCTCTGCTGAGCTGGTTGGGTGCTAAGAGCCTCCTCAAGACCCCCCGTCAGCTGCCCTTGGGGTTGCAGCAGGCACTGAAGTGCTGTGCCAGAGGTTTCTGCATTTCAGGGAAGGAAAAATTACCCCCTAAGCTGGAGGACACAGCACCTCCAACCTCGCTCAGCTCCCCTGCAAATACCTATTTAATGTGTCTTTTAAGGAGCAGTTTCATGGGGCCACCAACAGCCCAACTGTGGCCACCAACGTGGTGTTGACTTGGGCTCTCCAAGCCAGGACCAGAGCCCCCAGATAGCAAGAACCAGTGTCCCCTGGAGCTGGCTAAGAGCCTGAAGTGATGGCTCAGAGGGACACAGCCCAGCTGGAGGGATGATGGAGGGGCAGGACTCACGGGGGTGGTTTCGTGGGTCGTCCATCGAACTTGTCCTTGAGCTGTCGCTCGGCCTTGGTGAGGGTGGAGCGGGTGATGCCCTCCTCACTGATGTTCAGCTCGGGGTGCTTCTGGATGTAGTCACGCATGATCTCCTGCAAAGTTCAGGTGGAGAGAGGTCAGGAGAGGGGCTCCAATCCCCGCCTGGCTGGGGGCCAGAGGAGGAGGAGGAAAGAGAAGCCAAACCAATTGCCCTAATCATCTCCACAGGGCAACTTCTCCCCTCGTAGAAGCCTGGTTTGGGTTGGAAGGGACCTTCAAGATCATCCAGTTCCAACCCCCCTGCATGGGCAGGGACACCTCCCACTGGAACAGGTTGCTCAGAGCTCCATCCAACTTGCCTTAAAAATACTTGCATGGATGGGGCAGCCACAGCTTCTCTGGACAACCTGTTCCAATGTCTCACACTACAAAATTCCTCCCTAACACCTCACCTAAATCTCCCTCTTCCAGTTTTAATCCATTCCCCCTTGTCCTCTGGCTACAAACCCTCACCAAAAGCCCTTTCCTGCAGCCCCTTCAGATACTAGGAAGGCTCCAACTACCTCTGGAGAGCTGAGACTCACTAGGGACCTGCAGGGACCTGGCTGAACCCCCAAGGCCAGCAGCCTGGTGGCAAAGTGGCTGAAGAGTGAATGTGGGGGCCAAGTGTGGAGGGGAAGGGGTGAGGCTGCTCCCTACCTCGTACTCCTTCCGCTGTTCCAGGGCCTTATGAATCCATTTCAGCCTCTTTTTATCCGAGAGTTGAGACCACTGCTTGCCCAGCGACTCTTTCACCTCCTTCGTGGTGGCCTGAAAACCCAAAGCCAGAGGTGAGGGCAGAGGGGTAAAATCCCAAAAAAAAAAGAGAAGATGTTTTTTTGCGGGGGGATGAGGGGGCTGGTGAAGGGAAAAAAAAATAATAAAAAATCTCTTTTAAAAAATGGCACAAAAATAGATTAAAAAAAAAAATAGCGTGGCCACCACTTTTGCCCCCTGGGGCTGTGGAGTGGCTGGTGGGCAGGGAAGGGGGTGTGTGTGAGTGAGGGGCAGGGGCAGAGGTGGGTGTCTGTGCTGGGAAATCTTTCCTGCCCTGTCTCAGGCTGTTTGGTCACCCCTTCAACTGCTGGTAAAAAATACACAAGTGGTGTCTGTCTCCTCTTCCAGATGTGCAGAGCCCCTTCTTACCTCCATGTCCAGGCTGCTGGGAGCTTCTAGCGGTGTGTCCTCCAGCCCCTGCTCAGCCCCCCCTAAAATGCTTCTCTTGTTTCCCCCTCCTCTGCCCCCAGCAGCGGGGTGCAGGACCTCCCCCACTCACACTCACACTCACTCCCCACCCACCCTACTCACATCTGGACGCACTTTCAAGTAGATCTTCTTCTCGTGGTTGTACCAGAGCTGTTGGGGGGTCTTGGGTTTTTCAGGGACGTCGGATTTCTTGGCGTTCTGGATGAGATCTGGGTGATCTTCCCTTTACCCAGCAGGGAGGGAGAGTGTTTCAGAGGTGGCAGGTGGAAAGAGAGCACCCCCTAAACCTCCTCACTATGGGGTGACCATCAATGTGGGGCTGAGCCTCCATTAGGGGGTCCCCAAAAAGAGCAGGGAAGGTTTTAGGAGAGTCTGCCCCTCCTGAGGGAGCACCAGCAAGGAGCATCCCCTTTACTGCACCAGGGCTGGGCTGCATCCCTGCAATGTCAGGATCCACCTGGATGACAGTGACCAGGTTCAAAGGGAAGGGCTGGGGAGGACATGGTGGTCACTTGAGCTTTTAACAGCACTGATGGCAGGGCTCCTGTCCTCTCCTTGCAGCCCCTACACCACAGAGTGGGGCTGCTCCACTGCTTCCTCCTCCTCCCTCAGCCTCCCAGCTGGAGGGTTGATCTCAAGACACTTTTTCCTTCCTCATTTTTTATCAGCATCCCCCTTTCCCTTCAAGGCACGGTGCCCATCAGGGCTTCCTCTGTGAGCTACACACACGAGGGGAGTCTGGGTCTGCCTGGAGGGGCCTAGGGAAACATGGGAGGGGGCTGCCTGCTCACCTGAACCTTGCCAGGTTCCTCTCAAACTCCTGCTTTTCTCGCTGGAAGTCCTGGATGTATTTCATCTGGGGACACAAAGCCACCAGGGAGGTGGAGAAGGGTATCAGAACCAGGAAATGGGCAACTACATCCCTGTGGACCCTGCTGACTGGGAACCCACCATCCCCAAAGGCACTTGAGGGCTCTTCAGCCCATCAGACTGATCCTGCAGCACAGAGATGAGGATGGCTAGCCTGTCCAGGGATCCAGAGACAGGATCTCCTCCCCTCTCCCTGCATCCAAGAAGCCCTGAGCAAGAGGGCACAGCAGGACTTTGTGTCCTGGACCTTTCCTGCTGGTGGCAAATTCACCCAGACTGAGAGTTGGAGCACCCAAAATACCTGCCCAAGCTCTGGCCAAGCCCAAGGTCACCTCCAGGACTGGTGGAGCTGCTCTCCTCCCAGCATCTCCCACAGCTTGGAGCAGAGCCTGCCCCTCCATCCCTGCTCAGACAGGGTGGCCATGGCAGGGGGTGGGATTTAAGCCCAGCGTTAAACACTGATCCACCCAACAGCAAAGTCACCATCCCAGGTTCTTCTGGAAGAGAGGGACCAATGGACAGACCCAGTCATCCTCCACCCCACAGATCCTGAGAACCAGGATGGGAAAAGGTAAGGAAGTCTTACAGGTCTGACAGGGCCTAAACAAGCATCCAGGTTTCTCCCATCAAGACCCAGATTAAACCCTCACCAGCCAGAGGCTGAGCTCAGCTGACTTTACTGGGAGAGCTGGGCAGGCAGAGCCCAGCAGACCAGTGGGAAGGGGCTTGCTGACTTTCCCCTCACCCCCTACCTTTTTCTTCTCAGGAAGCTCCTTGTATTTCTTGGACAGGATCTTGGTGAGATCCAGGTTGCTCATTTCGGGGTGCAGCTTGGCGTATTTGGCCCGCTTCTCCATGAAGAAGCGGAAATAGGGAGTCAGGGGCTTCTTGGGGAAGTCGGGGTGTTTCTGGGGAGACAGCAGAGCAGCAGACCCTGAGTGTGGAGCTGGTGGCACCACGGAGGGCACAGCCAAACCCCACCAGCTCCTAGCTCCTCCCAGCACTGGGGGAGACCTGCCTCTGTCCAGGCCTGCTGGTGATCCAGCTGCCTGCCACAGGAACACCCTGGCTTTGCAAGCAAGGTGGGGAAAAATGCTGGGAACAAGGGCTCCTTTCCCCAGGAATGACAATATGTCAGGGCTAAATATCCCAGGAGCAGCCTCCAGCCACCTGGAGTTGTTGGCACAGAGTGGCTGTGATGCAAGGGGGGAAACCGAGGCAGGACAGGGAATGGGACCCACGTCCTGGGGACACCTGGTGGCAGAGCTGTCCTGGGGCTGCCCAGCTGAAAGCAGCACCCCCCAACAACCTGGCAGGCCAGGAATAGGATGGCAGCTTCCCAGGCCCCCCTCCCAGTGCTAAACTTGGATGCAGGCTGCCAGCAATACCCAACCATATTAAATGTACCCTGGACTTGGCCCGGGCCCAGAGCCCACGGGCTCCGGAGCCCTGGGCAGCCAGCAGGGATTACAGGCAGTGAGGTGCCTGCAGGGGCTCTGGTGGCAGAGCCACACGGGTCTGGGGTGCCACACAGGTGACAGCCCCCTGTCCCAGGGAAGGGGGAGATCCCCCTTTAGGGCCTGACCCCAATTTCTTCCTGATACCTTGAGCTTTTTGCCCTTGTAAGGGTTCTTCACGTGTTCTTCGGCGTCCATAATGAGCTCCGTGAGGGTCCGAAACTTCCTCACCTGTGGAAGGGTCACAAAGGTGAACAGACTGTGGGAGGGGGACAAGGAAGACCCTCACACTCAGCATAGAATAAATCCACGGGGTTTTGTAATGCCACCTCTCAAACAACCCATCCCAGCACCTGCAAAGGGCTCACAGTGCCGACGGTAGCGGGACGGCCTCAGCACTAAAGGCTGAGGACTTGGGACACTGGACTTGAGTGACTCAAGGAGGTCACTCAGACACTTGGTTCCCCTCATGGAGACCCCTCCGAGCCCCACGTGGCTGCAGTTACCTCATTAGAAATCTCCATCCACTTCATCTTGCACATCTCTCCTGAGAAGTCCTTGAAAGCCACTTTCTCCCAATCCAGGTGGGACTCGGTGGTTTTGAACTTGCTCCCGTCGTTGGAGGGCAGGTTGTTCTTCATGCACTCCAGCAGAGTCAGCATGTCCTCCTGAGACCAGCGGTCTGAGCAGCAAAGAGAACAGGCTGAGCAGCAGCAAGGGGCAGGCAGCATTCCCGAGGGGCAGGCAGCATTCCCAGCAGGACACTGGGACTACAGCTCCCAGCGTGCAGCTCCGGGGACACGTAATCTCCCCACTCTGCCCGGCTGAGATTAAAGATCAAAGGGACGTGGCTGATTCCATCACCCTCGAGCAACTTTCTATGGGCCAAAACAATCTGGGCAAAGCTAGAAAATCCACTCAGAGCAAACCAGAGGGACTGGCTCATCCTGGAATGCCATCAGATAAGATGATGGCTCTACAGGAAGGGGGGGGGCGTTTCCTACCCACCCCGAGGAACGTGCTCTCCAGCCAAGGAGCAAACAGGGAAACACACTTTTTAAGTGGAAAAAATGTGTCTGGAGCAACAGGGAAACCCCCCAGGGCTGCTTTTCCTTCACCTTGTCATCACCTGAGAATTAACTCCATGTTGACCTCTGCCAAGGTCAGAGCTGAGAGACCACAAAGCTGGGGGGGGTGCAGAGCCCAGCACAGCCCCCTCCTCCCCTCATCTGACAGAGGGGTCCCTGATGGTGCAGGGGTGATGGTGAAGCCCCCTCAACATCTCCCAAGCTGCCAGGAGAAGTGTCCCCAGCTTCCATATGGACAAGCTGCTGGGATGGCAGGATGGGCACATGGCACAGCCAGGGAGCATGGAGCAACTGGAAGGTTGGAATGGGCAGCAGCCCCGCGCCAGGACAGGCAGCAAGGCAGGATATCCCAGCACTGAATGCCCCATCCAGCATGGAATGCTCCATCCAGCACCCACTACAGGGCTGCTTCCTTGCCAGGGGAATTCCTCTGCCAGGTCCAAGCTTCCGTGCCAGCTGGGGAGAGGAGCCCTGGGTGCTCTGCAAAAATGGGTGGCCCTGGGGAAAAGCAGTTGGGAGAGGAATGGAAAGAGAGGTCCCCAGGGATGGGCTGGAGGAGGAACAGAGCCCCACACTCACACAGCCCTCCAGCCCAGGAGGGGCACCCAAGGGCTCCCTGTACACAGGACCAGCTCTCCATGGCATTCCCTGCCTGGCAAAGACTGAGGCATTTGGAGCTGCCTAAGAGATGTGGGGAATCCCAGAGAGATAGGGACAGTGTGGCTGGTCATGGCATTTAGGGCAGCATTTCCCTGCCTCTGTCTTCAGGAATGGGAAGAAGGTCCCAGAAACACCTGGCTGTGGCTCTCCCTCTGCTCCAGTAACACCCTCTCTGCCTCCTGCCTCTGCATCCATCTGGGGAAGGGAAACCCCCCAAAAAAACCAGAGAGGGATGTTAAAAGGGACACACGGAACCTACAGGGACCTACAGGTGGGGGGAGCACAGTCAGGACCTGCCCCCACACCCCATTTTGCCTCCTGGACCTGTCAGGTTGGTGGGTGGAGGCAGGGACAGTTGGGGACCCAGCCAGTCTCTGTAGGTACTTCATCAGGTCCCTTAGGGATTAACTGGGGGTGGGAGGATGGAAAGAGCCCCCACATAAAGCAGGGAGCCCAGCAGTTTGGGATGTGTCCCCACACTTCCAGCTCCAGAGCCTGGAAACTTCATCAAGAGGGAAAAGAGATGGGAAACCCCTGTTCCCCAGAGTGCCTCAGGAAGGGGGATCAGAGCTGGGGGGGGGGAAGGGAGGGACACCGAGAACTAAACTTCATCCTCCCATTTTTTCCATCCACTTT